CATATGTTAGGTCACAAAACAAGTCTTAATACATTTTAAAAAATTGACATAATATCAATTATTGATATACAGAATACATGGAATAAAACTAGAAATTAATAACAAGAGAAATGTTGGAAACTATACAAACACATGGAAACTAAACAATATGTTCCAGAATGACCAGTGGTTCAATGAAGAAATTAAGAATAAAATGTTAACATTCTTGAAACAAATGATAATGGAAACACAGCATACACAAAGCTGTGGGATACAGTGAAAGTAATATTAAGAAATTTATAGCTACGTGTTTACATCAAAAAAGTAGAAAAGCTTCAAATAAATAACCTAACAATGCTCCTTAAGAACTAGAAAGGTAAGAGCAAACTGAACCCCAAATTTGTAGAAGAAAGAAAAAACATGAAGATCAGAGCAGAAATAAAATAAAATAATAAAACAAAAACAAATTATCAATTAAACAAAAGTTTTTTTAAAAAGATAAAATTAAAAAACCTTTAGCCAGACTAATGAAAAAAAAAAGGAGAAAACCCAAATAAATTAAATTAGACATGAAAAAACGAGGCTTTTCAACTGACAGTGCAGAAATTCAAAGACTCATTAGTGGCAATTATGATCAACTATATGCCAATAATTGGAAAATCTAGAAGAAATGGATAATTTCTAGACACATTCAACCTACCCAGATTGAACCATGAATAAATTTAAAACCTGAACAGACCATTAACAAGCAATAAGATAAAGTCATAATAAAAAGTCTCCCAGCAAAGAAAAGTCTGGGACCTGATGTCTTTAATGTTAAATTCTATCAAACATATAAGAAGAACTAATAGCAGTTCTACTCAAACTATTCCAAACAACAGGAGGAGAAAATACTACCAAATTCATTCTATAAGGCCATTATCATGCTGATACCAAAACCAGACATTTAATAAACAAAACTATAGGCCAATATCTCTGATGAATATTTATTCAAAAATCTTCAATAAGATACTAACAAATTGAATTCAACAATACATTAAAAAGATAATTCATCATGACCAAGTGAGATTTATCCCAGGAATGCAAGGAGGGTTCAACAGATGCTGATCAAGTAATGGGGTACATCATGTCATTACAAGGGCAAATACCATATGATCATTTCAATTGATGCTAAAAAAGCATTTGATAAAATGCAACATCCCTTCATGATTTAAAAAAGACTCAAAAACTGAAGGTTTAGTCATCATATTTGGATGCTCTTTATTTCTTTCTCTTGTCTAATTGCTCTAGCTATGAATTTCAGTTCTATGTTGAATAACTTAAGGACTCCACCAAACAACTATTAGAACTGATAAACAAATTCAGTAACATTTCAGGATACAAAGTCAGCATACAAAAATCAGTAGCGTTTCTATATGCCAACAGTGAACAATCTGAAAAAGACAAAAAATGATAATCCCATTTACAGTAGCCACAAATAAAACTAAACACCTAGGAATTAATCCAAGAAGTGAAAGATCTCTATAATGAAAACTGTAAAACACTGGTGAAGAAAATACAAGAGGACACGAAAATTTAAGAGATTCTATGTTCATGGACTGGAAGAATTAATATTGTTAAATTGTCCATATTACTCAAAGCAATGTATAGATTCAATACAAGCCTTATCAAAATAGCAATGACCTTCTGCACAGCAAAGGAAACAATGAAGAGACAACCCACAGAATGGGAGAAAATATTTGCAAAGAAAAATTTTAACAATCCCATCTGACAAGGGATTAATAACTAAAATATATAAGGAGTTCAGACAACTCTATAGGAAAATGTCTAATAATCTGATTTAAAACGGCCAAAAGATTTGAATAGACATGTCTCAAAAGAAGATATACGGGCCAGGTGCGGTGGCTCAAGCCTGTAATCCCAGCCCTTTGGGAGGCTGAGGCGGGTGGATCACGAGGTCGAGAGATCAAGACCTTCTGGGTCAACATGGTGAAACCCCGTCTCTACTAAAAATACAAAAAATTAGCTGGACATGGTGGCGCGTGCCTGTAATCCCAGCTATTCAGGAGGCTGAGGCAGGAGAATTGCCTGAACCCAGGAGGTGGAGGTTGCGGTGAGCCGAGATTGCGCCATTGCACTCCACCCTGGGTAACAAGAGCGAAACTCCGTCTGAAAAAAAAAAAAAAAAGAATTTCCAAAGTATTGTCATAGGATCACTTAATTCCTAAGACCTGAAAATTTCGATACCTGTCAATATGGAGGCCCCAACGTGTCCCCGTTCAGCATAATAATCGTTAGTGGTTGTTGTTTATTTTGTTACTGTGCCATGTACTATGCAGAGTGCCCTAGCTCCTCTAGATATGGCCCCCTGCCCCCAAAACCTGGACTTGCCCTCAGAAACCTTGGGCCAGGCGGCTGTCTTTCCCGGCATTCTTGCAGAGCCTGAGTGCCTCGTGAGTTCAAATCCCACCTCATAATGCTGAGTGTTTGCATCAGGCTGCATGAGGTCTGGTCGCCTGGTGAGGGCAACCTGCACGGTCAGGCCTTTGTTCCACCACGTGGGACTCCTCGTCCAATACCAGGGGTGCCAGTACCCTGCTCAGGGATGCCAGTCGTCTCTGGTCTGGAAGAGGAGGGACTGGACTCTGTCGCCATCACCCTTGTGGCTGGTGGTCTGTGACGCGCGCATGGGGTGGTCTGTATCCAAGGCTGCCCTCAGGGCGACCACAGATGAGCCCACGGAGCCTGAGCCGAAATACCTGGCTGGTGAGTAGAGGCCCCGTGTGGAAAGCCCACGCAGCTAGTGCGGTCTGAGTGGGGAAGAACTTTTTTTTTTTGAGATGGAGTTTTGCTCTTGTTACCCAGGCTGGAGTGCAATGGCGCGATCTCGGCTCACCGCAACCTCCGCCTCCTGGGTTCAGGCAATTCTCCTGCCTCAGCCTCCTGAGTAGCTGGGATTACAGGCACGCGCCACCATGCCCAGCTAATTTTTTGTATTTAAGTAGAGACGGGGTTTTCACCATGTTGACCAGATGGTCTTGATCTCTTGACCTCGTGATCCACCCGCCTCGGCCTCCCAAAGTGCTGGGATTACAGGCTTGAGTCACCGCGCCCGGCCCGAGTGGGGAAGAACTTCCTAATGGCGGCACCTTGTTCGCTTCCCCTCCTCTGAGTGTCCTCCCGTCAGTGCCTCCCCTTTTCCACGCCCCCACAGGACGGGAGTTTGAGCTGTCACTTCCAGTAATCTTTGAGCATAGAAGGGAATCTCTGGTGTTTTTAAGTCCAAATTCCAAAATATTTAGAGTTTATTTAACTAAGATAGGAGACAAAGAGGGTGAAATAATAACCCATACTTCTTAGAAAGGTCTCATTTCCCAGGTTCATCCCAGGGTCCTTATAAATTAAGACATTGAGCAACTCTTCTGAAGGAAAGTCTATTGAATAGATTCTTCCATAGGTATTCCTAACCTAAGGTCCAAGAACAGGTTTTAGAGTCCATGGCACAATTTTGTGCCCTGTGTATGTTTCTACAAGGAAAATTTGTTATTCCTAGAGTGATCTGTTGCTCAAAGGGATAGACTCCCAGTCCACCCAGTCTAGCCCCTTATTGGTTGACCTTATAGTGAGCAGTGACTTCATAAACAATGTGTGCTCTTGGCAATATACTTAAATTTTACTGCTATTGAAACCTTCAAGGCTAACTCACTCTTTTTATCACCCCTTTATTTTGGTATTTTGCTAAAAACTATTCATTGACCAAATTTGTATTTGCCTTCTGAAGTTTTATCTTCTTATCGTCATGATAATGTGCATGTGTTACAGCAAGTTACTAAGTTAAACAGAGATTAATTTCATATAGATGTTTGCAAAGCATTATTCTCAGCAGGCCACATACTAGATTCTTTATATATGTGTATGTGTGTATATATATACATTTTTATATATGTGGGTGTACATACACAGTTATATATGTCTGTGTGTGTGTATATATATATATATTTTTTGAGACAGAGTCTTGCTGTTGTCACCCAGGCTGCACTGCAATGGTACAATCTCAGCTCGCTGCAACCTCTGCTTCCTAGGTTCAAGCAATTCTCCTGCCTCAGACTCCTGAGTAGCTAGGACTATAGGTGTGTGCCACCATACCCGGCCAATTTTTGTATTACTAGTAGAGATAGTGTTTTGCCATGTTGGCCAGGCTGGTCTCAAACTCCTGACCTCATGATCCACCCTCCTCAGCCTCCCATACTGCTAGGATTATAGGCATGAGCCACCGCGAATGGCCACTTCTCTGTATATATTGTACAGCCCTGGATATTTATTTAATATATGCCAGAATTGGCTTCTCAAGGCCTAAAGAAATGCTGATTAATGAGTAAGTGTCATGGATGAAGTTGTTTTGTAATGATAGTTTGTAGACAGTTTTGAAAGAAAAGAGGATTTTGAACTGGTAAAAAGTAGGGAATCATTGGATGTTCTTGAACGTGAAAATCAAGTTATGAAACTGAACTTTTGAGCGTTGTATGAAATGAGTTCATGAATGGTTATAGCCATGAGACCAAAAATTTAAAAGCTGTCACAATAAATGAGGTACAAAGCTATGAGGAAGTGGACTCAAGAAAAAGAAGCAATAAATAAAAGGATACAGGATGGAGATAAAAAGGGTCAGAGGTGGGGTGACAGTACAAAGAAAGTTCTGAACTGAACCTTCATGGAATGACAGTCTTCTTGAGAGAAACAGTGACAGTGGTCAATAGCTTGGTCTCTGGGGTCAAACAAATCTAATTTCAAATTCCAGCCCTGCCATTTAACTTCCTGTATGATCTTGGGTATGTTACCTTCTTGAGTACTGTTCATCCATTTAATAAGTATTAACCAAAATCTGTTATGTGCCGTCTGCTTTGCTGGGCCTTGAAGACCAAAATGGATTAATTCCCTGCCTTCATCAAGTATGCAAGATAACTAAATGCATTAAATATCATGTAACATATAACACTGCAAATTGTAATACATATAATGAAGAAAATGTTTTTTGAGGATTCCCTATGTCATTTATCTGACATTTGATTGCATCTGTACTTAAGTTAAAATTACCAAATTTGGTTTTGAAAATTATTTCTCAGTCTGTATTCTAATGCTTGTCACTGTCTCTAATTTAGATCTAATACGGTACATCAACGAAACTAACATGAACGTTGAACATCTGGCTAATGTTCTTTCTGAAAAAACTAGGAGCAGTAACTGGGTGGTGGTGTTCAAAGCCCTGGTTACTGTACATCACCTCATGGTGCATGGAAATGAGGTGAGCATGATGTATATTCCAGTGGTAGTCGTTTACTTCCTTTGTACAAATTGCAAAATGTTCTTGGTTTGTCAAGGGCTTACTACCTTTACTTTCATTAGTGGCAAGTGAGCAAAGTGAATACCAGTATGTATTTAAAATATTTTTATCTGTTTTTATTAATGAATATATCTTTGCAATCAGTATTCTTTGAGGTGTATCATTTTAGCCACTAACAAAGAAGTCACTGGATGGCAATGTCAATAATAGAGTGGCTATTTCTCTCAATTCTTTAGAGGATTTAGACCCCAAAAAGCCCCTCAGAAATGTGTTACCTCATAACTACTTTACTTTGCCAAGGGAGACTGTACACCTAAGCATATTACCTCATCACCTATCCATCTCTCTATATTTTACAGAAGAACTAGAATGCTCTATAACATTAAATACTTATTATTTTCTTTTTTGAGATGCAGTTTTGCTCTTGTTACCCAGGCTGGAGTGCAAGGACGCGATCTCGGCTCACCGCAACCTCCGCCTCCTGGGTTCAGGCGATTCTCCTGCCTCAGCCTCCTGAGTAGCTGGGATTACAGGCACGCGCCACCGTGCCTAGCTAATTTTTTGTATTTTTAGTAGAGACGGGTTTTCACCATGTTGACTAGGTTGGTCTCGATCTCTTGACCTCGTGATCCACCCGCCTCGGCCTCCTGAAGTTCTGGGATTATAGGAGTGAGCCACCGCGCCTGGCCTATTATTTTCTATTTCCAATTCATGAGTATTTTGTTTCAGTAAGTTTTGAATTAAAAAATTAGGCTTTAGAAATTGGCTGGATTTTCAAACTCATTATAAAGCAACAGTAATTATACAGTATAGTATTGTAAAAAAGAGAACATATATATAAATGGAACACAATAGAGAGCTCTGTTATAAAACTATACTTACTTAGTGGCAGTAAAAAATGTGGAGAAAAGCATGGGGGAAAGAATTTAAAATAAAGCCCATTGGCACAAATGGCATCCCTATGGAAAAAATAGAATGAGATTTTAATCTTACTGCATATACAAAAATAAATTCCACGTAGATGAAATATCTAAATGTAAAAATTAAACTGAAGAAAAGGTAGGAGAATATGCTCATGACACATGGGTAGGGAAGACACCATAGTTGAAGATATTTGCAATATATATATTATGGCCCAAAGGCCATAATGTTCAGAATACATAATTAGGAAGAAAAAGGCACTACAATAGACTAATGAGTAAAAGAAATGAACAGAGAGTTTAGAGAAAAGGGAACCAGAATGTGCAGTAACCATCTGAGAACATGCTCATATTAGAAAAATTAAAATTTCTGACAGTATGAATAGTTGGAAGGACATTGAGGAAATGGGAATTCACATACTCTGTGGATACACATAACTGCTGCAGTTTATCACTGTGGAGAGGAGAACATTGAGACACATTTAGAAAGCTGAAAATGCCCATCCCAGTGACCCAGCAAATCCACCTGTCACACCATATTTATAATAATGAAAAACTAGAAATCACCTAAATTTCCATTCGTAGAGAACAGATAAAATTTAGTGTAGTTATACAATAAAAATGCTGTATTACATTAAATGGGATGTATACCAAGAAGACTGTATCTCAAAAACAGTGCTAACAGAGGAGGCAAACTGTAGAATGACACTTAGAGTACAAAACTACTTGCGTAAAAAATTTTTTAATGCACCCAGTACTTGTCCATGGAACAAATACATGTGAAACATAAGGAAAATAGACTGTAAAGATAGCACATTAAATTATGATACCAGTTACTTCTAGGTAGAAACAGGAAATGGATCTTGAGGATGGGGCTTTATCAGTAATAAAATATTTTCTCTTATTCTAGAAATAGACTTGAAGCAGGTATGTCAAAAAGTTAGCAGTTGTCATTTCTAGGTAGTGGGGTCCACAGATGTATCATATTATTATTTGTATGTTTCTGTAATTTAAAATTACCCCAAATCATGGGTAATTTTGGGTATTACCCATGATGGGGCATGGCTAGATAGAAAGTCTTGGAGGGAAAGAGTGTGTATCCACATGATATTTAATGTTTAACTTCTTGTTTATTTGGGGGTATATAAACAAAGGAGAGTTGGCAGCACTGCAAATCCTTATGTTGGCCAGCAGAGAATATGATTGTGTGCAACTTAATCAATGCTGCTGAAAGAGATAGAAGATGTGTGGCAGAATTAAGTATACATTCATATTGACAATCGTTTGAATAATGAACTTTTTTGTGTATAGACACTAATTTTAGAATTTGGCGCATTTGTTTGACAGCGTTTCATTAAACATCTTTCATCTCGGAGCACTTTGTTCACTTTACATAATTTCCTGGATAAAAGTGTCATAGAAGGTAAGATGATTCTTTGATGGAAATATTTCCATATGGCAAGGAGGGAAACGTTTTGAGAAAAGCATGCCTAGGTAAAAAAAAAAAAAGGTTCTAAATTATGAAGAATGTGACTGGCTATACACTTTAAGAAGGTAGACAATCTCCAAATACATTGATACAACATATATTTGAGAGCTCACTAAGAATAACAGAATATGCCATATGCTAAAGACAGAAAAGGTCTTTACTCAGGGAAGCCTTGTTCAGCCTATCAAAAATTGCAGCACCTTTATACCAATTTTCTGCCTGGGTTTATTTTTTCCACTTCTTGCTGGTGCCTCTTTTCTTTTGCATAATTGTCTGCCATTTCCCATTGAAATGTAAGCTGTATGAGGGTAAGAATATTTGTCTGTTTTGTTCACTGCTGAACTTCCAGCACCTAGGACATAGCCTGGCTTATAGTATGCACTCAGTGATTGTTTAATGACTGAATAAATGGAAGGGGAATCCACATACATTTGGAGGTTGAGTAGAGAGTAGTTGAGTTTCCTGGGGAGGGATAGCCTGGGGAGAAATGCCAGATGTGGGTGAAGGGGAGGAAGGCAGCAAAACACACTGCCACGTGTGTACCTATGCAACTATCTTGCATGTTCTGCACATGTACCCCAAAACTCAGAATGCAATAAAAAATAATAAAAATAAATAAAAAGAGAGTAGTTGAGTTCCTACCATGGCCTTCTTTCTCCTTTTTCTTTATGAAGTAGGTGGCAGGTCATTTGCTGACGGTGGCAGTGGGATGACGAGAGTGAGGAGAATGCTAACAATTTATAATAATTTGCATAAAAATGTCAAAGGAGCTGATACAGTTCAGCTATTTCATCTGTTCAGGAATGTCACCATCAAGACCCCATTAAGGGACGATATCAAGGCTCTAAGGAAATAAAAATTAACCTTTAACAGAAAGCTTGAAGAATGTTGGAATAGGTGATTAATAAAGGCCATTCTAGCTTTTGTGTTTCAAAGATATTGTTGAGGTATACAGGTGAATGTGCAATAAGTCTTTGCATTTATTGACAGATTGTAAAAAGCCACTATTGGTTGAACTGGAAATAATCAAAATATCTCATTTTTAGGCTATACTATGTCAGCCTTCATCAGACGATACAGCAAGTACTTGAATGAAAAGTCACTCGCATATAGAATGATCTTATCTGACATCACAAAAACCAAGAGAGGGTCAGTAAATATCATTAGTTTCTGAGCAAGAAGTACTGAAATTTACATGTGGTCTGCTTTGTAGTTTGTCAAAAACAGTCCTATTTTGAGATGCTGATTTCATAGTGCTTCTCAAACTCTTAATTATTGAGGTTCATGAATTTCTTTTATCTTTTACAGGATAGATGGTGTGATAAGAACTATGAATACCGAGGAGCTTCTAAACACACTTACAGTTATTCAAACCCAGTTTAATGCTCTTCTTAGTTTTAATGTAAGAGCTTTATAAATTTTGTTTAAAAATATAGTAAATGGCATCCTGTAACTATAGGTGGGAGAAAGAATTTTCTAACTGTGGTGTTAATTGGTTACTCTTTTGTTTAATTTTCAGGCAAATCCTGATGAACTAACTAATGGTATAATACATGCTGCTTTTATGCTCCTCTTTAAAGATTCTCTTCGTCTGTTTGCAGCTTACAATGACGGGATCCTTAATCTGCTAGGTAGGATAAAGAATAAACTTTTTAAAAGATTATTTTTGAAGGATAAAATGGTCAAATAATTTATTTGTAAGAATCTTTTATCTCTACATTTAAACTCACATTTGCTTTAGATTCAAAATAGAAAATCTTTGCAGGGTCATATATATTTTTAAATACAGATATTATATCGCTTTATCGGTTAAACATTATTTGGCTAATTAGCCACAAAACTTTTCCATTTTTATGCAAGTGATAACTAATATTTCTGGGAATTTCATGTTTATTCATTATATGCTAATAAGGCCCATTCCCACTAAAGTCAAACAACAAAGAAGGTAAAGCCTATGTAACATAAGTAATTGTTATGATGATATACAGACATATATTTTTAGACTTTTCAGGAAATTGCTGTCATCATTTAGCCCTAATAAATGATTCATTTAGCTGCAATTATTCTCTAAACTTCGTTAATGGGAATCTGATAGCTTTTCTTATACTGAAGAAATACATAGCATTATACATTTGTAGGGTTATAAGAGAGTAGGAAGCACAGCCCCTTCCCTCAAAGGGTTGCAGAGCTTGATATTAATAAAAAAGACTATAGACTAGAAGTCGTTGAAATTAAAATCTAAACTATCTGTGTATGCTATTAAATTCCATATACCCAGCATCAATATTTGATATACAGTAGTTTACTCCATAAAAATTTGTTGATCATGAGGATTCAGCAGTGCTATTTCTTGTTATTAAAACAGAAAATAACTTGATTAAAATTATCATTGTTTAGAACCAGTTAAACTCATATCCAGAATTAGCTTGAAGTACAATAATCAGAATGGAGTAAAACTTGAAAATTGCTAAGCTATTGGCTCATTTTGGTAATATTCTTCTATTTTTAGGCAAATATTTTCACATGAGGAAGAACCAATGCAGGGAAAGTTTGGATATTTATATCAAGTTCCTTCAAGGACGAACCAAATTGATACAGTTTCTGAACGTTGCAGAGGTACAGAAATCCATTTCTATTTAAGGCGTTTCTTTTTTTGCATTAATTTAGTATCAGTTGAAACTATACCTCTTTCTTCCACCACTATCAATCACCACACAAACACACAGAAATGGGTAGTTTTTTTTTTTTTTTTTTTGAGACGGAGTTTTGCTCTTGTTACCCAGGCTGGAGTGCAATGGCGCGATCTCGGCTCACCGCAGCCTCTGCCTCCTGGGTTCAGGCAATTCTCCTGCCTCAGCCTCCCGAGTAGCTGGGATTACAGGCACGTGCCACCGTGCCCAGCTAATTTTTTGTATTTTTAGTAGAGACGGGGTTTCACCGTGTTGACCAGGATGGTCTCGATCTGCTGACCTCGTGATTCACCCGCCTCGGCCTCCCAAGGTAGTTGTTTTAACTACTTTGTAAACAATAAAACTAAAACTAAAATTAGGTACTTCAAATGTACCATCCAAGGCACTTGCACTGAAAAGCAATCTTACAAGGACTTCTGTTTGCAGCCATAAAGATAACCAGTACCAAGCTTACCCTCCCACCAGAAACAACTCTAAAAGTAGACCAAAATATATATGACGTAAGTCTTTTTAGGTAATTAACAATAGGTAGGTTTGTGGTCAGTGAGAGAAATAGTTGAGGAGCCCAATCAGGATACATACAAAGAGAACCACACCGAGGAGAGTTCTGAAAACCAGAGAGAACAAAGACATATTACCCATGGGAGAATGACAGTATGAGTACTGGCTGACTTCTGACTACTTGAAAAATCAGAACACGTTTGTATGATATCCAAAATGCAGCTTAGTTCTTCTCAAATCATCAAAGACTCAATATCTGGCAAGTCTTTTAAAAAGTCTATGCCTTAGGATAAATATAAGGATGTACTTAAGCATGTGAGGCATATATATATATTTTTTTGAGACGGCGTTTCGCTCTCGTTACCCAGGCTGGAGTGCAATGGTATGATGTCGGCTCACCGCAACCTCCGCCTCCTGGGTTCAGGCAATTCTCCTGCCTCAGCCTCCCGAGTAGCTGGGATTACAGGCACGTGCCACTGTGCCCAGCTTATTTTTGTATTTTTAGTAGAAACGGGGTTTCACCATGTTGACCAGGATGGTCTCGATCTCCTGACCTCGTGATCCACCCGCCTCGGCCTCCCAAAGTGCTGGGATTACAGTGAGGCATATTTTAACCTGACATGGCACCAGCCCAGAAAGATCATACTCGGGGTATTTTCTGTTTCATGCACACAATGATCAGTTACATTTTTGTTGTTGCCACTCCCTGCTGTAATGTATACTTTCTTCCCCACTTTTTTGCGAATCCAGCAAGTTGGAATTGACCGGTGCAACATTCCGTATATTACTCAGGTCAGTGTATCTCTCCTATGTACTTAAGTAACATGTATTTCTTTGCTAATGTGTTTATCATATTATCATTATTGGAGACTCTCCATCTTTTGCTATATGCTTATGTGTGTGCATTTTCATTTCTCCGTAAGTAACATATATATGTGTGCTTGTTATGTGTGTGTATAACAACTAGACTATGCTTTTAATATGATCAGTAGAAACAGCAGGGTATTTGGACTAATGAACTTAGTTTTCAGTGCTGCCTTGTCTACCTTTCAGATATACGGTCTTAAGCAACTCATTTCCATTCTCTGTTCCTCATTTCTGCAACTGCAAAATGGGTATGATGCACTAGCTAGCTCATAGCAGTATTGTAAGAATCAAATGAGCTCAGGCTTTTTATTCCTCAGCAACTAGTCCTCAGGGATATGATCCAACAAAGAAAGCTCAGAGGTTTCTGGAAAATCTGGAGACTCAGGACTTTCGCAGCCATCCCCCCGTTGTCCCCTGCCTTTGGGACTAGAAGAATGCAGGATTATTTGAGATAGCACATGTGGAATGCTTAGACAGTGCCTGGTTAATGTGGCAGCCACGTGTATGTGAAGAAACTTGTGAAGAGAGAGAAGATGAAGATGTAGGGGAGAGAGGATGGTTATAGATGCAAAAAATGTTAGGTTTAGTGGTAGAGAAGGAAGGAGTTTTTGGCTGATGGCTTATAAATCTTTGAAGGAAAGAAATATGTTCTCTCAAGTATACACAGCACAAATATTTCTTCATGTACAGACAAGTACAAAGGGGGGCTCGCATGTAGCCCTGAAATCCCGCAAAGTGGTCCACGATGGGAACCAGTGTTGGGTGAAATAGTGCGTGGCTTCCTGAATGAAAAGTCACATGACCAGTAGTGGGAAGAAAGAGACAATGAGAATGTTTGGGTTAGTAGGAGAGAAGATAGGATTTCATTGCCTCTTGGCAACATAACCAGCGTATTTCAATCAACATTTATTCGTAAACACTCTTGACTCCTTTTCAGTTAAAGTGAATGAGACACAATCTTGGCACCTGAGTTCCCAAAAAAGACAGAACAAAAACTACACATGAAGCATCACTAGATATCTATCTTGATGTAGTCCTCTGATTTTTCTCTACATTACCTTTCTTCCTTGAGGGAGGTGGTGAGGGCAGCAAGGGGAGCTTGCCATTGTCAGGATGCAGATGAGCATTAACTGACCAGCACCTGTGGCTTGAGCTCTAAGGGACATTTGACAGGAGGAGTCCTTGAGTGGAGGGCCACATTTCCCATCAGTCCACCCTCCTCCTTACCTCAGCTCTGGTCATCCTGAAATCAAAAATGAAGCAGATGACTGCAGGAGAGTCTGCAAAAGGCAAGTGAGGATCTTGTTGGTAAACTCTCACGCAGACTCATTCCTCTGTAAATCAACCCTTCGTACTGGAAGAGCTTCCTTATCAGTACGCTGCGCCCTGGTCCTCACCCAGTACAGAGAGTCATTTGTCAAGGCCTTCAGTTGGCAGAAGTGCCCCCTGGACTACATGCTTTCTTCTTGGGTGTCCCAGAAACCCTGGAATGGAGTGAAATGCAGGACTACATGGGAGAGCGGGGAGGCGAGAATAGTCAGCCCCGCCTTTGCCCAACTCAGTGGGTCTCCTTGAGAGAGGTCTGCAGTTTCAAGGAGCCTTGTCAGCCAGTCTGCTGCGAGATCCCGTGAAGGGGTGTGAGTCTTCCTCTGTGACTGTCAATTGGCCAGTCTCTTCTTGTGCATCCAACAGTTGCTAGGTTTAAACTGCTGGCTATTTTAGAGATCCTTTCTGGATTTTACTCTCCTTCAGAGGAAACTTCCCTCCTTTCCTCAATTAATCCTTTCTGCCTTGGCTCTGACGTGGTCTGGGGAACACAGAGCCTCCTCCTGAGAGTCACTGTCTGGTGTGTCTGTCTGTGTCCGTCCCTCTCCTTTCCACCATTCCCTGTGTGGTTCCTGTTGGCCGTGGCTCCCACAAACGCACATAGCAGGGTCTGCTTTGCCTGCAACCTGATGCGTTTTTATTTTTCACCAAAACTTGCAGCCCAAACATAACGTTTTTTTTTTGAGACGGAGTTTCGCTCTTGTTACCCAGGCTGGAGTGCAATGGCGCCATCTCGGCTCACCGCAACCTCAGCCTCCTGGGTTCAGGCAATTCTCCTGTCTCAGCCTCCCGAGTAGCTGAGACTACAGGCACGCGCCACCGTGCCCAGCTAATTTTTTGTATTTTTAGTAGAGACGGTGTTTCACTATGTAGACCGGGATGGTCTCCATCTCTTGACCTCGTGATCCACCTGCCTCGGCCTCCCAAAGTGCTGGGATTACAGGCTTGAGCCACCGCACCCGGCCTTGTTAAGGTTTCTTACGTAGGTATACACATGCCATAGTGGTTTGCTGCACCCATCAACCCGTCATCTACATTAGGTATATCTCCTAATGCTATCCCTTCTGTGCCCCTCACCCCCCACCCCCCCCGGCCCTTGTGTTTTTATTAGAGATAGGATTTCACCACGTTGACCAGGCTGGTCTCAAACTCCTAATCTCAAGTGATCTGCAATCTGGATGCACTTTGTAAAACAAACAACAGGGGGCAGAGTATATGAAGACGGACTGGAAGGTGAGAGAGGAGGGCAGTTGAAGCTAAAGTGCAGAAAAGAGGAGGCATTTCTCCCCAGGCCAGATGTGGGTGAAGGGGAGGAAGGCAGCAAAAGACACTGCCTTGTGTGTACCTATGCAACTTTCTTGCATGTTCTGCACATGTACCCCAAAACATAAAATGCAAAAAAAAAGAAAAGAGGAGGCATTGCAGACAAAGTGGTTAGGACTCAGTGTTGGATTGCAAAGGACAGTTGAGGGAGACAGTATCAAGAATCAGAAGGGTCTACAGAAAGAGAAGCGTGTATCGGGGGAAGATGGGCGATATAAAGTGCTGAGCTGGCATGAGGAAGTGTTTAATGAACTACTTACAAAGGTGTGGGCAGAGCTAAGGAACAATCCTGAGAGATAAATAGCAAAAGTTGTCAGTATTTGAACAATGTTGGAAACGTCTTATTCTGCCTGATTTGCTTTGGGACAATTCACCGCCAGCTATAGATTCGTGGAAATGCTGCCACACAATCTTAGCAGACAAGATCGGCAGAAAATCGCTTAGAAACAATGAAAATGCGACAAGGTGCTTTCCTTGAAAAGAGTAGATGCGACGCAGTAAGGACCCCCTTCATGAGGCACACAGTCACCCTCCAGCCGCCAGAACCACAGGAACGCTGTGGTAACTGGGGAAAAACGCATCTAGGGGCACGTCACGGTGGCACCTTCCAGCAGGTTCCCAGGGTTGTGTCCCTGGAGCTCTGACAAAGAGTATGGCTCAGAAATGTTATGTTTGGGGGGCCGGGCGCGGCGGCTCAAGCCTGTAATCCCAGCACTTTGGGAGGCCGAGGCGGGTGGATCACGAGGTCAAGAGATCGAGACCATCCTGGTCAACATGGTGAAACCCGTCTTTACTAAAAATACAGAAAATTAGCTGGGCATGGTGGTGCGTGCCTGTAATCCCAGCTACTCAGGAGGCTGAGGCAGGAGAATTGCCTGAACCCAGGAGGCGGAGGTTGCGGTGAGCCGAGACCGTGCCATTGCACTCCAGTCTGGGAAACAAGAGCGAAACTCCGTCTCAATCAATAAATATAAATAAATAAATAAATAAATAAGACTTCGAAGGTCTCCCAGGATTCTAGGATAAAGCGTAAACTCCTCAACATTGCTTTTAATTTAAGGTCCTGCGTTGTTGAATCCTCGCCTACCCTCCAGCTTTACCTCCCTTATGCTCCTCTCTGCTCTCTTTGCTCTAGCAGCAGGGCCTTTGCACATGTTACTCGTCTGTCTACAATGCTCTTTCTTCCTCTACTGACCTCCTCATTCCTCAGCTCAACTATTTCTTCAGGAGGGCTTGCTTCTCTGACTTCCCTGACTTGGTTAGATGCCCCTGCTTCAACACCATCTGAGTATTGTGTACCTCTCTTTCATGCTACTTACAACTTAAAATGACTTTGCATTTATTTGTGTGATTGTTTGAAATATCTTCCCCTGACCTGTAGACTGTAATCTTTTTTTTTAAAGGTAATCAGTTATTTAATTAGATTATTAGGACATTTAAAACACCAATTTGTGAGGATAAATTCCATTTGTCAGGGCAAACACAGATCGCAGGTAGCCTCGGAGCTGAGGAATAGCTTTGATTTTTGGTAAAACTTGTGAGACCACAGCTTTCTGATCAATCTTGCGCTGCTCTGTAATCTCATATTTCTCTTTTTCTGTGTGGAAGATCTCACTTTCCTGGTGTCTGGGCTTCCGCAGCTGCTGCTTCTTCTTGAAGTAAGCGTCAATAAGATGTTTTGGGATTTTTACATTGCTGATATCAATTTTGGTTGAGGTGGCAGTGACAAATTTCTGGTTCGTTCTTTGCAGAGGAACTCGATTGAGGACCAGAGGTCCAGTCACAAGTAACGAGCCACTAGCCAGCTGCTCCAGGATAACCACCCTCTTGCCCCTGTGGCGTCCAGTAGGGATGATCAGAATGGTCCCGGGGTTAATGCTGGGTCACAGTTTTCTCACGTGCTGACTAAACGGTTTTTTGCGTGGCTCAACAGCTTTCGAGGCACACCTTCAGTAGGATACTACCCAGGCATTTTGCGAAGTTTAACCACCCGGGTGCCGCCGTTTTTGTCACCACCAACTGGTTTTGTAACAGTTGCAAGAACCTTCTCCTTTTTCTTTTCAACCTTGGATTTAGCCGCTGAGTACTTCCTCTTGTACAAGGCTTTTCTGGAATACATGGCAGGTTGGGAATACCTGCCAATTCCTCTGACAAGAACAGGATTGCGGCTGCAATGGGGCTTCCCCTTCTTGTGCTTTTTAGCCTTGAGGTTACCCTTTTTCACTTTGCTACGAGCATCAGCCTTCTTGGCTTCAGGTTTCTTCTCTTTAGTATCC